ATAGAAAGGACAGAAAATATTGTTTCTATGACAATTTCTTTTTTTCCATCCTCATTCTAACGTGTATAGATTTATTTATTCACCGTTCATATATGTACGTGAAAAAAAAAAAAAAAAAAACGAAATTTAGTCTGAGGTAACATCACGAACACCCTGTATACCTGAGTCCTTTGTATAGGTGCGTTTATGTGCCGTTGACGAGATAAGCGCAAACGTTTAGTATTATCGGCCGAGACAGTTTTGTTCATAGTGAAAAATAATGAAAGAAAGGTACTTATTTACTTAAAGGGATTGTCCAAGTTACTATCTACAAGACTGATATTACGATGATAATGATGATAATGATGGTAATGATGATGATGATGATGATGATGATGATGATGATGATGATGATGATGATGATGATGATGATGAATGCTCGACACTTTATCTTTTTAATAATTTAACTTATATATCATTATACGTCTTTGTTGTTCAAAAACAGTCTTATCTCTAATAACGATCAATAAACTAACGTCATTAACTAAAGAAAATTAATTGATAAAGTATATGGCAATTAATAATTGTCGTAACTAAGACGATTATTAATTACCATATATTTATATTACATATTGATTCATTAATTAGAATATATATATATATATAACAAATTTATATATTTATTAATATTAATTAATATTAATAATTAATGTTAATTACATAATTTTTTACAACTTATTTCTCTTATTTTTTGTCCTTTTATCTTTCTTTTTTTTTTAGATAGGTTACATAAGAACGAAGAATTCGTTGTATATATATTTATATATTATGTATAATATATAAAATAAATTTACATTAATATAAATTTACATATAATATATATATATAACAAATTTATATATTTGTTAATATTAATTAATATCAATAATTAGTATTTATTTTATAATTATATATATTTTTCTTTTTTTTTTGTGTGTTTATTTAGGTTGTTTACATGAAAACGAAAGATTCGTGGTATATATATATATATGTAGGATATTTTTTAAAACTTTACCTGATAGATACGAACTGACTAATTAGAATCACGTACTTTTTAATTTAATATGAACTTTATTACCAAGATGCTATAATTAGAATGTAAAAACTTGGAAACTATAACTATTTTCTAGAACTTTGATCTACTCAAGGTATTTCTAGCTACTGTTTGCTCTATAATATTCTTCTCGTTATTCTTGCAGGTCCACTCAGGATGATACACAATTCTCTTGAAGTTATTTGCTCACTCGTTTTCGTCCCTCTTAAATTAAACTTCTTTTCTTTTCATAAATAATCATTCGTCGCAAAAGACAAATCACGTTCTCTTTGACTACCAATCGGCTTACCTCATACATACACACACAACATACACGACTAATTAATGCTAAAACCTTCTATCAATATATCTCACACACACACACACACACACACACATACACATGAGTTTGGAACCTTCCATCTCTTCGTTTAACTAGCAATTCAATCGAAATATCTTACATACGCGCATACACACAACTAATTAGTCCTGGAACCCTCAAATCTATATATACATATATATTCTTTTCTTTTATTATATATATATATATATATATATATATGTTTAAAAATATATATATATATATAAATATATATAATATATTTATATATTATATATATTTATACAATTAATTTATAAATATAATATGTATATATATAAATATGTATAAATATATATATATATATATATATAATAATATATATATATATATTTTTTTTTATTATATACATATTATAATTATATATTATAATATACGTATAATTAAATATAAATATATATAATTATAATCTATATATATATTTTTTTTTTATTATATATATATTATATATATTATATAAATATATATTATAAGAAATCTGCATATTAATTAATATCTATATATATATTTTTTTTTATTATATACATATTATAATATATAATTATAATATATATATAATTAAATAGAATAAAATATAATTAAATTTAATTATAATTATAATCTATATATATATTTTTTTTTATTATATATATATTATATATATATTATATAAATATATATTATAAGAAATTTACATATTAATTAATATCAATAATTTATATTTATTACATAAATAATATTATATATATATATATATATGCATATATACAATTAACTTTTTTCTATTCTTTTCTTTTTTCCTTTTTAGGTAGGTTACATAAAAACAAAGGACTCATGGTACATGATCGAACCAATCGAAGGACACGATTTCACGAAGGAAATTGAACATCCTCATGTAGTTTATAAAAAGGATCCGAAGGATATTAAAACCAATGAGATTTCGTCGTGTATAAATTTCGAAGATTTTAACAGGACTATTAACAAACGTGAATACAATGAATTCATTAAGAAGCGCGCCTTGAATAACAATAATGAACAATATGATGGTCGTCCTATGAGATATACTGTAGAATTGTTAGTCGTTTTGGACATTACACTTTTACAACATCAAAAATTTGACGTGGAAAATTACGTATTGACCATGTTCAATATAGTAAGAATATATAATAAAAATGAAATCATTTCTATACTTTATCCACCATTTTTCTTTTTTTTTATTCTTTTTTATTTTAATACGATACAAATATCTTGTTTTAGGCTGCCAGTCTGTTTCACGATATAAGCTTAGGATTCGATATGGATTTGGCTATAGTTAGAATCATACGACTCGAAGTAGAAGAAAACGAGGTATTTTTTCGATTTTCTTCTATTTTTTTTTTTTTAAAGGGAGGAGGAGTTAGGAACGAGGACCTAGCATAGAAACTCATATCTAGTGATCTCGGAAAAAATAAATGATCGTCGAAGTTCGAAATTTTTTTATTTTAATTTCTGTGGTTTTTTTTTCTCAAATAGGATTTCCAGGAATGAAACGAATTTTACTCTTTTCTTCTTTTTGTTTTTACTTTTTTTTTTTTTTTTTTCAATCGAAGTTACACTCATCGAGAGTCTCAAATAAAAAAAAAAAAATACAATAGAATCGTTCAAAAATAGCGGAAAAAAAACAAAAAATAGAATATGGCCGCCAGCAGATGGTGTATCTTTTTTTTTTTGTTCTCTTTTGTTTTTTGAAACGTTCAACGGTGAAATAAAAGAATGAAACCGAAATTTTTGTAAAAATAAATGATGTATTGAAAAATGAAGAAGAAACAAATGAAAAACGTAAGATCGTCAAAATAATCTTTAAATGCTTACGGAATATATTTTCATTAATTTTGAAAACTATCTGAAAAAAAAAGTGTTTTCAGAGAAATGTGTTCAAATATGATAATACTGTTGATTGGTGAAAAATTTTTTTCTTTTTTTCTTTTTCTTCTTCTTCTTCTCAGATACGATTAGCGAGAATGAAACGAATTTGTTTTTTTTTCCCAGTTGTTTTTTTTCTTTTTTCTTTTTTTATCGAAAGTACACGTATCGAAAATGAAAAAAAAAAGAATCGTCCAGTTATATCGAAAAATACAGAAAAACAAAAAAATATACGCTTGACGACAGTTGGTGAATTCTTATTGTTTTTTCTTTTTTTTTTTTTTTTTTTTTTTAAGCGAATTAACACCAAAGACGGTATATGTTTGATTTTTCTAGTCGATTTTTATTGTTTTTCTTTCTTTTATAAAAAATGCTAATGAATTGAAATTTAAACATGGCAAATCCATAAAAAGCATCGTCATTTTTACGCAATTATTGAGCAATGAAGATCTATTGAAAAATAAAAAAGGAAGAAAAAAATTACAAATAAAAAAGCTAAGACCTCTCGTCAAACGATCTCTATGAAAAGATTTCTAAATGTTCATTGAGTATATTTTTTGCAAAAATTAAAAATGATCACAAAAAAAAAAATGTTTCGATAAAAACGCGTTTAAAGTTCCAATTAAATTTGTACTATCGTTTGGCAAAAAATTTTTCGACTTTATTACTAGCGATCAATTCTAAGATTCATAAATATATATATACGTAACACCGTCAACAAAAATTGCATGGGGATTCATGGGATTCATTGAAGTAGAAAAGGATTTTGTTGACGTACATATGCTAGGATATTTTCTGTTCGCGTGTCGCGTCCGTGAATCCTTCGAATTTCGAAGCGAATCGATGGTCTCCTCGTACTTGGTGCTCTTACTATGTGACGCTATTTCAAGCAATATCCGATATTCAATGAGTGCATCACACGACAAATATGCACTGACACCTACCATCTTTAAAAGTGCATGTGACGATATTTTCAGCAATTTTTCAACATCTAAAAGGACCGAACTTTATGAACTTTTCGTATCGATCTTTTTTATCGCGTATTTTTACGAACGTTAATGGAGATTTTTAAATGTGCTCTTTCTCGGTCAATTTAACAATGAACACATTTTAATCCAAAATATTACTTTAAATAATTTTGTATGTGCCCAAAATGTTAGGTTAGCGAAATTTGTATAATCGAGACGCATTTTTTTTTTTTTTTTTTTTTTTTTTTAATGAAATCTTTTATAAGGATATATATAAAGGATATTCAAAAGGTATGGGATCAAACTTATACTATGTATTACTGAAATCAAATGGATAAAAGAAAGGTCATATAAACTTAGGTCCAAAAATGCTTTATTGAAAAGATAATTACAATTTATTTTCTTTTTTTTTAACCTTTAAAGATATTTACGATTTTAGTATCAATTAGTGATCACCGAATTCTTTCTTTTCTTTTTTCTCTAGACTTTTATTTATGAGGTATTTATGGGACAAAAAAGTTGGTTTATAAAAATACGATAGAAACGGAAGATGAACTTTGAAAATATATTCAAAATATATTTACTATTATTTCAAATACTATTGAAATATTAGAAAGAGTACGACGATTACTAATTTGACGAATGAAAGTGTGCATTCTTCCGGTCGGAGAAATTTTCAAACATTTCTTATAATTATTAAAATAAATTATAAATATCTTTAAAAGCATATATCTTTTCAATAAAATATTTTCTGACATAAGTTCATATGAATTTTTTTCATCTATTTAATCTCAACAATACGTAGTATAAGTTTGATCCTATATTTTTCGAACACTTTATATATATATGAGCCGTTTATTTTGAAAGTGGCCTAACTCCATTTATCGTCAAATATTTAAGGGATTGCGTTTCAATGAATTTAAAAATATACGTATAGGATACTAATGAGTTATACTACTTAAGTGTATCTAAGGATGTTAAATTTATAGTTCCTATTAAAATAGTGGCAATTATTAAGTGAATAATATGCGTTTTCTTATCAAGAATGGAGTTAGGCCACTTTCAAAATTAACAATCAGATTCATTATAAAATTTGAAGGTGCCCAAGTCCATTCAACATAATTTAAGATGCTTCGAATTGAAAAAAAAAACAATACTCAATTTATTTGACATATCTTTAAAACATTTCGAAAACATAATTTATGCGATTCAAAAGATTTTTTAACTACATAACGTACAAAATTACAAACATAAATTTATTACAAAACAATTTACTACTCATCTAGATTTTGTGTGTGTGAAAGGGATTTAAAGAAATCATGATGTTCCGGTGATATATATCGTAATAGGTCAATTATGTCTTTGAATTTTGCTATTGTAATTTGTCTGATATTTTTATACAGTTGTGTCAATACAATATTTTCGAACTTTCTTGGTCTACCCCGACGTGATAATAAATTCAAGACTTTAAAATTTTCATTTTCATTCATTGATTTAAGTATAAATGGAGTTAGTTTTTCACTTTCAAAGTAAACGGTTAAATTATTGAACTAACTCTGAAAACTTATGTGTCAAGAATTATCGTATTTGCTCGGAATATAAGCAACCTGAAATGCTTTACTGATAAATAAGATAAAATTGTACATGTAATTATAACAACCGGAAAAAAATTGACAAATGGAGTTAGGCCACTTTCAAAATAAACAGCTCATATATATATTAAGTTGGAAACTATGAAACGGGCGTTGAATGAAAATAAATGACTAAACAAAAACGCCCGTTTCATAGTTTCCAACCTAATATATTTTTTTTAAGCAATAGAAAGAAAGAAAAAAAAAAAAAAAGAAAAAAAAAAGAAAGAAAGAAAAAGAAATTTCTAAGTGCATGTAATTCAGGACCTAACCGAACTTCCTCCCCTCTTTGAGATCTCACACATCTCGTTGTGTGAAGATAGTCGAAAATGAGAATTAAGATGTTTGTTTCTCCAGCGAAATCGTTCGAATAACGATTGAACACCGTAACAGATGAATTTGGGGATCACCAAGAATTTAGAAACAACATTGAAACGATTTCAAGAATGGCAAAGATATATGAATCCTGGCGATGACGATCATCCGAATCATCATGATCTGGCGATATTACTTACGAGGTTACATATATATCATATATCATTTGGTTAAAATACAAAAGGATTGATCACTATGTTTATACGTGTGAATGAAAGTCTTTTCATGGTTGATAATATTCGAACAGAATGAATTTCTGCGTGACACAGGAGCTTTGTGGATTCACGGGTGTATCTACTGTCGCTAGCACGTGTGATCCTTTGAAGGGAGCCATTATTGTCAAGGACAGTGGCCTTACTACGGGATTTCATATAGCTCATCATATAGGACACACGTGAGTCTACATCAAAATTAATTCCGACGGATTTTTAATTTGTTTATCGTACAATCTGCTTCCTTTATTTATCTTCTTTTCCTTCCTTTCTTTTTCTTTTTTTATCTTTTTCATTCTCTTCATCGACCGATGAAAAACTGATTGATTTTAAAAAGCTATAGTATTGATAAAAAAAAAATAAAAAATAGAAAAAAAAAGAACTATAAGTACGTAAAATACAACAGGAATATTATTTTCACAATTAAAAATCATTACTAATGATATATTATAATTATCAATGTCATATATACAGTCGTAATATACAGTGAATAAAGAAATTGAATTTTTTTTTTTAAACGGACGAATAATTTTAATAATTTTATTCGAATAATACTTAGATTTTAAATGACTAAGAGAGAGAGAGAGAGAGAGAGAGAGAGAGAGAGAGAGAGAAAGAGAGAAAGAGGGAGAAAGAGAGAATGATAAAAAATTGTTTGAATGCGTTCGACATGTCAATAAAAAAAAGAAAATCATTGGCTGAGAAGCAGCTTGATTTTTTCTCTTTTTCGTTACTTTCTTTCTCTTTTGTTTTCTTTGTCTCATTCATTCTCTCTGTTTCTCTCTCTCTCTCTCTCTCTCTCTTTCTCTCTCTCTCTCCCTCTCCCTCTCACTTGCTTCGTCATCAGACTCGGTATGTCACATGACGTCGGAAGGGAGAACGGATGTACTGGGATAGTTCATCATCACGATGGATTCGTGGAAACGTCGGTTATGTACCCTGGAAGTGCATACGTGACGAAAAAGTGGTCCAACTGTTCCCGGAATTATTTACAACATTACATCGAGTTAGTTTTTCCTTCTTTACTTTTACCCACACATACACACACACACACACACATACACATATTGTTAAGCATATCTTCTCACAAATATTCATTCTTTATTTATTTTCTATTATTTTTATCATTCGCTATATCGATTATATTAATTTACATTCATATTGTATATATATATATATATATATATATATATATATATATATATATATATATATATTTACATCGAGTTAGTTAAAAATTTCTTTTCGTAAATATTATTTCTTGATTTATTTTCTATTATTTTCATTATTCGTTATATCGATTATGTTAATTAATTTAATTTTCATGTTTAATTCATTAATTAATTTTCATGTATATTGTGATTATCTATTTCATTTATACACGTATAGATATGTTATTTCTTTAATTTAAATTATTATTTTTCTTTTTTCTTTTTTGTCTTTTTTTTTCATTTTTCTGTGTATTATTCGTTCGTAAAAAAAAAGTATTTCATATTACCTATATTAATTCTTATTTCATCGTTTTCTTTTCGAATTGAAATCAGATCTGGTTTGGCTCGTTGTCTTGAGGATGAGCCAAAGGATCATCATTTTCCTATAATGGAGATGTTACCTGGGGTCATATATAATAGCGATTTTCAATGTCGTCTAATGTATCGTCAGGATGTCGTTCATTGTGATCTCGATATCGTAAGTTATTAAATTTGATTGATTTAACGTTCCCACGATCATCATTATTTATCATTGTTCACCAGAAATGAAATTCGATCGAATGATTGACATTTCTTATTCTTATAAGAATTTAGATTGTTTTTTCATTTTTTTGTTTCTTTTTTTTTTTTTTTGTTTTTTTTCTTTTGCCTTGCAACGACCAACGTCAAAACATAACATTTCGTATAAATGAAAAATCGTTTAAATTTATTTCTACGTTAATCTAATGATCTAATTGTATAATTTTTCTTATTCTTAGAAAGTTAAGAAAGGGATTAATTGTTTAAGACAAAAGATTTTTTAACGAAACAAAGAAAAAAAAATAAAAAGAAGAAGAAAAAAATCGTTCCTTCAAAAATATTTTTCGTTTTCTTTTCTTTTGTATTTATTTATTTTTTTTTTCTTTTTTCTTTTCTTTTCTCTTTAATCTATAATATCATCAAAATACAACATTCTGAATAATTGAAAAGTCAGGTTCAATTGATAAAAAATTGCGAAATTTATATAAATGCGTTGTGAACGTAAATTGAAGGGGAATACATTTATTTGAAAGATTGAAACAATATTGATCTTCCAAAAATATTTTTTCTTGTTTTCTGTTCTTTTTTTTTTCTATAGTACCTTTAAGAATGTTCATTGAAAGTTTTATCAAAAAATTCGAAAAATTGACGAAGTCTTTGAAGCTTTTTGAAGTCGACTTCGTCGAATTTGATATTATTCCGATGTAATATTACTTCGTACATTTGAAAATTATTTGAAAAAAATTTGAGAAAATATTTCTCATGTCATTTATCCAGTCTTTCTGGACTACAAATATTTTTTTAAGACCCATAATTTTTTTTTTCTATTTCTTTTTATAATTAAAACACTAACGAAATAATTTCCATCGAAAGTCGCATAATAAATTTAATCGCTCGTACTTCTATTTTTTTTTTTTCTTATTAAATGAAAACATCATAAACATTGGCTTCATAATAGACTGGCTTTTTTTTTAATTGCTATTTTTTTTCAATTATTTTAATTGCTTTCCGTTAACAAATATATCTCTAAATAAGTACGTTCTATTACGCACATTTAATGATTATTACTTTCTTTTTTTTAATAAAATAAATTACGTACAAACAAAGGAGTCGTGAAAATTGGATCCTTCCTTGGATCCAATTGGATGTATGTAACCCTTTAAAAAAAAAAAAAAACAAACAAACAAAAACAAAAAAGAGAAAAGAAAAAAAAGAAGGAAAGTAAGACAAGGAAAAAAAAAGGAAGAAAGAAAAAAAAACGTGAAGGTTCGAAAATGAAAACGCTCGAGGGTAGAAGATAAAATAATGAAAAAGAAGAAGAAGAAGAAGAAGAAGAAGAAGAAGAAAGGAAGGACTACATAGAAAAAAAAGGAATACATAGACATAGAGGGGTGAATAGCAAGAAGAAAATTTCGGTAAGGCGTGACTATAGCAAGTCACGCTTACTTGCTAACAGTAATGAAATTAACCGGATTTTCGATTTTCGTAACTTCGCAGCAAGTCGAATGAAATATGTGCAGAACTGTGAGTGGTATATGGTAATAGGGTGGGGATAAAGTCGATTGGGATAGGTAGGGTGAGAGTTGTATGAAGAGCGTGAAGGGTGGAAATGAATATTGTGCAAAAGGGTGGCCTGAAAAAAAAAGAAAAAAAAAAAAAAAAAAAAAAAAAAAAAGAAATTGGAAACGCGCGTGGTAAAATGGATCGTCAACTTGAAATGGATCCTCGATGATTAGGCATATATACCGACCGTAAAGAGGCACCATCTGTCGTTAGCATCTCCAAGCTGTTGCCTCTTTTCTTGCCTGACGCGTATCTACCTTATCCGTACGGTAAAATATTTGTTTGTAATAGACCATTATTTTTCCACCCCTTTCTCCAAGCCTCTCTTTTCTTCCAACCCCTTATCCTATCTATCTCTACCTACCTACGTATACTTATCCAACACTACCACCTTTGGCCTTCACTAAGATAAGAAATTAGAATGGCGTTATCGTCGGTTAAAACGATATCGCAATCAACACGAAAGAAAACGGGCAACTTAAGGGAGCTCAAGGTAGTCGTATGTGAAAAACGATTCCTCTCTCTCTCTCTCTCTCTCTCTCTCTCTTTCTCTCTGTCTGTCTCTCTCTCTTTCTTTTTCGTTTTACAGAACTGCGAGACTCTGAGCTGTTCTATTCCGGAAAAGGGTTGCGTGTCAGTTAGAAAACCACCCGCTGAAGGAACCCCCTGCGCCGAGAAGAGGGTAAAGTTATTATCACTTTTCAAAAAAACAATAAAAAAAAAAAAAAAAAGAAAAAGAAACATTACAACGACTAATTAGCACGAATTCTTTCGATTGTTTCACGAAGATAGAATCGATCGAAATTTCATCCTTCTTGTACTTTTCTTTTGTATATTTTAACGATATAATTTTTCTTCCTTTCTTTTTTTTTTTCTTTGTTCTTTACTTTTCTTCCTTTTTTTGCTTCTGTTTGTATCGAATCCTTTGAAAAAAAAAAAAACAAAAAAAAACAAAAAAAAAAAAGAAAAGAGAGAAAGGAAGAAAGGAAAAGATGTATTTTTATTTACTTTTTTTTCTTTATTTTTTTTTTTTCTTTTTTTTCTTTTTCTTGACGATATCATCATCAAATTCATTAGGTACATATAAAATCGAAAAAATTCATTATTGAATAGGAATCGATAGGAAAAAATAAAACGGAGAGAAAAAAAAAAGATATTAACAAAATTAACATTCATTACGTATTAGTTATTGATTATTCTATGATCTGTCAATTATGAGTAATAAATAATAGAAAAGATTGACACTAGTAACATGACATTGGTCATTATCAAGATATCAATGCGAAATCGGATGGATTCGAAAAAAAGAAGAAAAGAAAAAAAAAAGAGGGGGAGGAGAAAAAAGAAAAAAAAGAAAAAAAAAGGGGGGAGAAAGAAGGAAAAAAAAAAGGAAAAAGAGATTTTCATTTGTTATTCAAATAACAACAAATCGTTTCAAAGCATTAATATAGTTGTATTGTAAACGAGAACGTTCAAATTTATGTGACAATGTTAATAAGCCACAGTCAGAGTATTACGTAGTGGTGAGATGAGGGGGAGGGGGAGGCGGGGAATGACGATGATAAGGGATAAGAGGTGGAGGTAGGTGTGAGAGCGTAGGGGGAATGGGGATAGGGGAGGATGGTTAACAATCGCAACGAAAGAGAATCCAACGAAACGAACACACAGACCAAAGTCATTAGCAGCGTACTGTCAATGCAACAGACTAGTGGTATTCATCCCTCTCTCTCTTTCTCTCTCTCACTCTCTCTCTCTCTCTCTCTCTCTCTCTCTCTCTCTCTCTCTCTCTTTTGTACTATCAGTGACGATATACACTTTTAGTTTTGCGCGGGATTCCTGCTAATAGGCAATTTCTAATTGCCTGGCTGAATCTGACAAAGTTAATCGCTTTGTTTCCCCTGTTCGCTCGGCCAATCGTCGTACTCTATCTTTTTTTTTTCTATTTTTTTTTTTAATTTTTTTCTCTTTTTTCTGTCCACCCCACCAACCCCTCGTTGACCTGATACAATCGACGATTTACGAATCTATATATATGTACATATATATACATATATATATATATATATATGTATGTATGTGGGTGTGTGTGGGTATATATATATATACACATATGAGAAAGGCAACGCGATTTAAGCGATTCTGTTTCGTTTATATATTTGTCCGATTGAGTTAATACGTGGACAATGGATATTTTTTGATGATTAGGCTAACGTTGGATGAGTATCTATTAAAGAAATATTAATTATAATAATTATTTAGATAATAGGTTAATGCAAAATACTTTTCGATATATAGAGGGTGATTATAAAGTAAAAGCTCAATAGAATATCAAGTTTGTTAGAAGGAAAAGAATATATATATATATATATATATATATATATATATATATATATAATATTGTCTAGACGTATGCAGTAATGATATAAAACGATAATATAGATAAACAAAATGAATAAGAACATCTACAAATATAATAAAATTATACAATCTACAATAATCAATAAAAAAGTTATTTTACATTAATAGCCTTTCTCTCTTTTCATCGAAACTCGATTTGTAAGAACGTCGCAAAAAAAATTTGATTCACGATTTGCGAAATTAGAAACGAATTTCTGGTTTATTACAATTTTATTATTCTTTGCACGGTCTCGTCCGTTCACCCTTTTCCCACTCATCCCCGCGTCTACTGTCGTACTAGTATTGCGGAAAAATTGCCTTCTCGTAAACTTATCGCAACGATAAAAGGAAACGAAATCGTTGTATATTGCGTGGACATTCGTGACGAATAATACGATTTTACGTGGTCACCGTGTCGGCGAAGCTTTTCGTTTGCGATGAAACGAGAATAAAATGAATTTCGTTTATTTCACTATGAACAAAATGATGAAAATCGTTATCTGATCCTTCGTAACTACAGAGAGAGAGAGAGAGAGAATGAGAGAGAAAGAGTAGCGATCAACCACAAATAGAACATTAATCCTTTGTCTTTGAATTATTTTTTCGTTACATAATAGAACTGTAATTGGATAATGTTTCTTTCTATTATTTGAAATGAAAAAAAACGCTGACGAATTTTTAATTCATTCGACATATTTTCTTTTTTTATAAACAAACGAACAAACTAACAAATAAACAAACAAACAAAAAAAAATATATATGAACCGTTTATTTTGAAAGTGGCCTAACTCCATTTATCTTCAAATTGAGATATTTAAAGGTTTCCGTTTCAATGAATTTAAAAATATACGTATAGGATACTAATGAGTCATACTACTTAAGTGTATCTAAGGGTGTTAAATTTATAGTTCCTATTAAAATAGTGGCAATTATTAAGTGAATAATATGCGTTTTCTTATCAAGAATGGAGTTAGGCCACTTTCAAAATTAACAATCAGATTCATTATAAAATTTGAAGGTGCCCAAGTCCATTCAACATAATTTAAGATGCTTCAAATTGAAAAAAACAATACTCAATTTTTTTTACATATCTTTAAAACATTTCGAAAACATAATTTATGCGATTCAAAATATTTTTTAACTACATAACGTACAAAATTACAAACATAAATTTATTACAAAACAATTTACTACTCATCTAGATTTTGTGTGTGTGAAAGGGATTTAAAGAAATCATGATGTTCCGGTGATATATATCGTAATAGGTCAATTATGTCTTTGAATTTTGTTGTTGTAATTTGTCTGATATTTTTATACAGTGGTGTCAATACAATATTTTCGAACTTTCTTGGTCTACCCCGACGTGATAATAAATTCAGGACTTTAAAATTTTCATTTTCTTTCGTTGATTTAAGTATAAATGGAGTTAGCCCACTTTCAAAGTAAACGGTTAAATTATTGAACTAACTCTGAAAACTTATGTGTCAAGAATTATCGTATTTGCTCGGAATATAAACAACCTGAAATGCTTTACTGATAAATAAGATAAAGTTGTACATGTAATTATAACAACCGGAAAAAATTGACAAATAAAGTTAGGCCACTTTCAAAATAAACGGCTCATATATATATATATATATATATGTGAAAAAAAAAGTGATCAATTTTGATATTGCAGTGGTGTTATAACATGAAGTGCGTCATGATAGGTGAACGATTAGGAGCGATCGATGGTGGTTGGAGTAGTTGGTCATCTTGGAGTCGATGTTCTCGTAGTTGTGGATCCGGAGTGGCCTTTGCAATGAGAAGATGCGATCATCCAAGCCCAACCAATAGCGGTACTTATTGTCCCGGTATAAGAAAACGTTACAAAATTTGTGCCACCAATGTGAGTTCATTTTTAATTGTGCGATCTATCAGAAATTTTCTTTTCAATTATTCTTTTTATTTTTGTTTATTTTTCAATACTTATCATTCGTTTCAATTAGCCTTGTGAAATTGATGCACCATCGTTCAGAGATGTTCAATGCAATGAATTCAACGATTGGGTCTTTCCAGAGGATGGAAAAATTCATCGATGGATAGCTTATAATTTGCCGGAAAGTATGTTTCAAATTTATCTTTTGTCATTAATTGAATTTATTAATTTTTTTTTTTTTTTTAAAACTACTTTACATTCATAAATAACATGTATATCATTTTATAACGGGTGTGACGTTTTAAACGACACGATATCTAATATATTCGATTGTAGTGTTATCCATAAACGAACGTTTACGAACAAATCCATTTCTTTACAAAGAAATAAATTTTTATGACAACGAATAAAATTATGTAGAATAAAAGTTATTTGATTTTGAAAGGTATGATATCTAATATAAATATATATCGGTGTTATTTCGTAAAGGACACTGTTGTTTCATGATGACACGAAAGTAGTAACAATTTTTTTTCTTTTTCTTTTTTTTCTTTTTCAATCATAAAATCGCGATACCTTAAGCTTAACGAAAATTGTAAAAAATAAGAGTAAGAATCGAACTCGTGTCTATAATGTATCTATTCATTGATATTTTGATATATCGAATTATTAAAAAAAAAAAAAAAAAAAAAAAAATACAGAAACATCTAATTAATGGGCCAATTATAATATCACCATTAACGATATCACGGCGAATCTACGAATTAATGACCGATGTAAACAGCATCATATTAAGTTAAGCTTAAAGTATTGTATTTCATTAAAAAAAAAAAATAAATAAATAAATAAAAAAGAAAAAGAAAAACATTGTTATGAATTCCAAATTTTGACATTGACAGTATCGGCCCGCTGTTAAATAGATTCAACAAGTATTACGTTTTATTTCGCAAAATCTAATCCCATCTCATTCAACATCTCATTCCTTATCCACTTAAATCTAATTCCTAACGAATCTAATCTCTAATGAACTTTGTACGAAACGTTTGTTCATAAAAACCGATAACAATTAGTTATCAATTGAAATGGTACAACTGGTTATATTACAATAGACATATCAATCTTGTAAATTTTATTAATATGTAACATTGATTTAAAGATAGATTAATAGAAAATGATACGTTACAAGATTAAGAATTATCAGATTATTTATAAAGACTATTTTTATTTATTTTTTCTTTTTTTTTTTTTTCTTTTTTTATTTTATATTTATTTCTATTTTTATTTTACTTTTTATATTTATTTAAAGACTATTTTATTTTATATTCGATTAAAACTATAAAATTTCGGATAAATTATCGTCGTATAGATGAATTATTATTCTTGTTAATATAGGATATAGGATAAATCCAATTTAAAATTAACGATATTGAAAAAATCTTATTGCCTTCAATCGACAACAGATATTCGATTAAAAAGAATTTTTAAGAAATATGATAAAAATCTCAAATATATACAATTACAATAATAAAATTCGTCACGTTCGGTTACTTCATTGACTCAATAGAAATCTAAAGATGAGGCGTATAATAATAATAATAATAATAATAATAATAATAATAATAATAATAATAATAATAATAAAACCGTTCATCGTGTTTAATTATATCTCCGATTGCCCATTGGAATATAGTTTCTAGGTTGGGTTTAAATTGGCTTTTAGTAAGGAATTAAAGGAGCCCGCGATTCGTAGAATCACGAAATGCCGGGCATTTCTAACGGCTTAAAGAGATCGTTTTCCCTCTTTCTCTTACCCCTCTTTTTCCCTCTTAGCCTCTCTCTCTCTCTCTCTCTCTCTCTGTCTCTCTCTCTCTCTCTCTCTCTCTCTCTCTCACTCACTCACTCACTCACTCTCTCTTTCTCTCGTTCTCTTTAATACAAAACGATTAAACTCGCAATTAGACTTGAAAGCTTCCGAAAATCCGTGCTCCCTATACTGCCTAAGCGATACGGGTTTGGTAACGTCATTAAGGCCAAAGGTCGTTGATGGTACTACATGCTACAGAGGTATCCGCGACATCTGCGTATCTGGCGTCTGCAGAGAGATACCATGCGATCTCGATATGGAATCCAACGCGGTCGAAGATGTTTGCGGCGTTTGTCGAGGTGACAGCACATCCTGCAAGATCAAGGAAGGAACGTTCGTAATCCAAGCCCAATCAAGTCCGTTAATTAGCCATTAATTACGTCTAATAACTCTCTCTCTATCTATCTATCTATCTATATCTATCTCTATTTCTATCTCTATCTCTCTCTCTCTCTCTCTCTCTCTCTCTCTCTCTCTCTCTCTCTCTCTCTCTCTCTCTCTCTCTCTCTCTCTCTCTCTCTTATCCTATAGCTAATACAAATCTTTCGATAATGTCAGAACCGAGGAAGATAGTAGACGTACCCGCTGGCTCAAGAAACATACGAGTTGAACTAACTCATCCTACAAAGTCGAGAATTATAGTAGAAGCTAAGAGTTCTGGATCGACTTTAATCGATGGGTAAAAAAAAAATCCTATTAGAAAAAAATAAAGTTATTAGAGGAAATTAAATTGGAGGACATATAGTGTGTGTGTGTGTGTGTGTGTGTGTGTGTGTGTGTGTGTGAGATCAAAAGGGAGAAAAAGTCAAAAAAAAAGGAAGGATGTACTTAATTATGAGTTAACTTAAATAAAATTAATTTATAATAATAATAATAATAATAATAATAATAATAATAATAATAATAATGATGATGATGATGATGATGATGATGATAATAATAATTTATGATAAATAAAAATAACGTATCTAAGTGTTGTAAAGTGACACGAATTTTTTAAAAAATGAATCGAAAATATTTCATTCATTTCAAAAGTGATGTAAATCCATTTCTTCTACTTTTTATTTTATTTTATTTTTTTTTTTTTTTTACTAATTTCGTGATATTTAATTATTTGCATTACAATCGATAGAAAAATATTGATAATTAACTAATAATATAATCATTTGATCTTTCTAGGAACTTCATTATATGTAATTCTTTTACGTAATGAATTTTTTTTTTTTAATAATTATTATCTTAAAAATATAATATTTTTGATTGATCAATGAATGAATTTATTTTGAAGTTTGATAATTATCAAATTTTGAAAATTTGTAATAATTACGTATTTATATTTAAATTTTAATTGAAACGTACACCTTTTTATTCATAATTTTTAATAAATAAATATAAGTATAATTATTTCATCTTAATATTTTGTCTCGCAATAAATTTTAAATTACATTATTCTTTAATAAATCTAGATATATATATATATATATATATATATATATATATATATATATATATATATCCTTTATATGTTATTCATTTCGTGAAAATTATTCTGAAAGTTTTTTTTTGTAAATAATCATTATGTAGAAAAAAATAAACTCGTTATATCGTTATACTTTTCCAATTAGACGAGTATACATTATTTTTATACAGAAAATTATTGACATAACGTTTTTTAATTTTTACACGTTTTCTCAATTTAAACATTAAATCTAAAATTTGACAAATTCACGTACGTCTCTGTCGATACTTAGTATAAAATTTTATATAATTTTTTGTATTTTTTTTTTTTCAAAAATTATTTTCATCCAACATATTTAAACCTTAAATCTATATTTTTCATCCTTCTAAAATTTTAATAGCGACATAATTCTCAGGTTTCATATCATTTTATTATCATTTCGTAAAAAAAGAAAAAAGAAATTAATTTTGTTATCGCTTATAACATCATACAATGATTGTTTATAATAATCTGAAGAAATGTATAAAAAAAAGAACATAAAAAAAATTTCTCCCAAGTTTTTCAATAATAGAAAAATCGAATATCTTTTAACAGCTATTTCTATCAAAATCAATCGAAATGACTAGTCTTTAAAAAAAAAAAAAATACATAATAATAGAATATTTTAATATTCATTGATTATTACTTTTACACAAAAAAGTAATTCCATATTATATAGTACATTTTTGATATTATTAATCCATTTGACATATTTCATTATTTATACATCATAAACAATATTAAGTATAATAAAAAAAAGCTAGAATAGATCGTGACGTGTCGAAATTTGTATCATTTTAAAAAAGATCGATTATTGGCAAAACGAACAAGCATCACTTTCAATGTAAATAAATAACAAATTGAAAATATTTAACGTTCACCCGTTATAGATCGAACGTGAGGATTTGATTTTTATTACTTTTTTTTTCTTTTTTTTTTTAATATAAAGCAAAAATATCGGATCAAACGTAAAAAGATATAATCGTAAATATGATTAATTGATATATATATATATATATATATCTTTTTTTTTCTTTCTTTCCTTTTCTTTTCTTCCCTGAAATTTCGGAATAATCAATCGTATAGAATTCTTTTTTTTTTTTTTTTTTAGAAATAAATGACTCGATTGTTTCAGAAATCACTTAGGAATGTACGAAGTGGCAGGCTCGAAGGCGTGGCTCGGTATGATAAGACCGAGACAGGGAGCTTTAAATGTGCCAGGACCCGTCACGGAAGACTTGGTTATATTGGTAAATATAATGAGAATGCAGTCGTCTAATTACTCGTAGCGCAGTACAGTGCCGTTCAGCGATATCGTATCTCTGACCAGTAAGAGAGAAGTGTTTCGTACATGAGAGTGTCACGCACACTTTAACACGTACATACGTAACACTAAAACGATTAGATTATACATACGATGAAGCGTAGGTAGTTACAATATTTATATTACCAGGAACGTAGAAATATCGCATTACGGATAACGTATTCTTAACAAGACTTATTCTTTAGTTCGAATCGTTTAGAACGATTAAATATTTTTATCGTACGAAGTACCCATTTAAAGTTTTCCTTTATCCTAAATTTATAACCTTATGGTATAACGTAAATACCGGTGTACTAAAACGTATTAACAGCATTCTTTAACCAAAGAAATATTATGAGGAGGTATTTGAGGGTATATAACATATTTATGAGAAAATACTTATCTCGATCTAACAACCGTAACGGATTATATTTTATCGCGAGAAGGAAATTTTTTTTTCTTTTTTTTTTATTTTTTTTTTTCCAATTGGATGAAATTGTTGATTTCGATTTTTTTTCCCTTTCCTTTTCCTTCTTTTCTTTTCTTATTGCTTTTTTTTTTTTTATTTTTTAAGATAAATCTCCAAATCTCTAAGTGACATATTATATAATTGAAATATGAGTCAATTCTTAAATTGGTATCACATTAAATATGATACTATAAATTTAAGGTACACCCGGTGGAAAATGTAACCTTGAAATACTCGTTGGGATTGAAACAAGATAAACCACGGAGGGGAAGATTCTCATGGGGTTTTGTTGACTGGGAACCATGTACAGCTGTTTGCGGACCCGGCGAACAGGTCTCGAAGGCACGTTGTATAGAGGAAATCGGTGGTATGGTCGACGAGAATAATTGCAAAAATCTAACAAAACCGGATGTGAAAGTTAGACCGTGCGATCAAGCACCCTGTTTACCCAGGTCATTTTTAATTATCTCTTATTTAATGAAATTAATTAATTATATCATATATTTCATTCGAAAAGGCGTTCAATTTTTTTCCGCCCTCTTTTCTTTTTCTTTTACGCGCGAAAAAAATATGTCCGTTCATTTATCTGTTAAAATTTTTCGTAGAACGAAATTGAACTTTTTTGAAATGAGGAAACTTTTTTCTTCCTTTTTTCCTTTTTTTTCCTTTTTTTTTTTTTTCTTTTTCCTTCGAACGATCAATCCAATTTGATTATTATCAAACAGATGGATGTTAGGCGATTGGCAAGGTTGCGAGAATTGCACGGCAACGTGTAAAAGATTACGAGCAGTGAAATGTATACGTCCAATTGGTCATGGTGAACAGGACGTCGATATTATACCGGATAACTATTGTCAAGGACCAAAACCAAAAGAGTCAATGTTATGTTCCTCCGAAATAAATCAAATCGATCGTATCATCGAGGATATCTCAATTGATGAGGATAAATCGTTAATTAACAATGAGACTACGGTTAACCTTGATGACATTAATAAAGGAGAACTCGTGATCGATAAGGAATATATTGATAATTTGACCCTTACCATTATAATCGAACGCGATGAAAATAATAATATTATTAATTTGCCGAAGGATCTTACCTTGAAAACGTCAGAAAACGATACGGAATTGGTATTGGTCGGAATGGATGCTGTTAAATATATACGAACAATACAGGAGGAAAAAATGAAAACGACTTTTTCATTTTTCTAATACAATATTAATAAAATTAATTAATAATCGATCGTCTATGATCGTAATAAAAATATATTGAAAGAAGAATTAAATAAATTACGTATAAACGAAAATTATTTATTAATCATCATTCATTGATAAGGAAGAAATTTGAATCCTTGGATACGTACAGTTTTGATCGAACAAATTTAAATATGTCGAAATAAAGATTATGATTGAATTAATAACGTAGTCATTATTTTCGACAAAAAGGAAATAAAAATTTTCATATTAACGTTATTAACATCGTCATCGTTAAAATATATCTAATGATTGAGTTCGTTTAAAAAAAAATAAAAAAAAAAAAAAAAGAACAATATATTCTCTTTCAAAAAGATACATATGTATATTTCATTTCAATTCGTTTATTAAAATAATATTTTCTTCCAAGTTTGAATTTCCTATATCATTCGTTTCGTATCATCGAGTAAATAAATCCATACGTATATATGTATTTATGTATATATATATATATATATATATATATATATATATATATATGTATATATGTATATAAGTATGTATATATGTACATGTGTATGTATCGCCTTCCTTTCGTTTCGTTCGAACACAAATAATTAATTAATTAATTTTCGACTGTTTATTTTTTGCTTCTTGTTTTTTTTTTGTTTTTTTTTTTTCAAAAAAATAAATACAATCTTTCGACGTCATAGGTTTTACATTCCGCGTAGACGTTTACAATTACACGGTTATAATGATCATTTTATTGCTTTGTTAGTGTATTTAATTAGAACGATCATTAGATCTCTAGGACGATATTAATGTCAAATTTTTTCCTTAGGAGATTTTTCTTTTTTCTTTTTTTTTTCCACCTTTTTTTTTCTTGCGACTTCGACGAATGATCAATAATCTTGTCAAATCGATCGAGTCCAAGGCTTCGAACTTGGTAAAATCTGCAGATATTTTTATCGTTAATATTCCTATTTTTTTTTCTTTTTTGTTCATTTTTTTATTTATTTATTTATTTATTTATTTATTTTTTTTTTATTCTTTTTTTCTTCTTTTCTTCATTATAAATACAAAGTATACTAATTCTTGAAAGAAACGAGATAAGAACGCACGATACATGTACGTAGTTAATCAGTGTCAATATTTTTTTTCTTTTTTTTGTTTACGTTCCTTTTTTGCAACGTATTAAATATCCAATTGATGTTTCGTCTTAAACGACAAACATTATTGTGCTTTAGATAAAAATGGCAATTTATTTCATTGAAAAGGATGTATCTTAAGCGATCCTATAATATCTTCCTTTAAATCGTTTCGATAATACGTTGCGCAAAGCTCTTATCGAAGATAATCTCCGAGTGTACAGTTACGATTTTCTTTTTTTGGTATTATTATTATTATTATTTTTTGTTTTTTTTTTTTTTCGAAAGAACCATCTAAATTATTCTGCGATGCTCTCAGAATAACCAGGACGTTTTAAAAACCATTCGTTCGATTTGTTTTCGATACAAATGTAGTCCATTGTTAATCGCTTGTCGGTCTAAAACGTTGGACGATAACCTGAGGTAATCCTTTTCTCGTACAAAACACGCATTCAAAATGCGTTTACGATTTTTCATTAGTCTTTAAAACATTATAAAGTAATGAAGAGAAAAAGAAAGAAAGAAAGAAAGGAATAAATAAATAAATAAATAAATAAATAAATAAATAAATAAATAAATAAATAGATAAATAAATAAATAAACGTCGAACGTGATATAATCACAAGTATTACGAAAGAAATATAATATATTATATTTTTAATGGACGGACAAACTCTAATATTATTTATATACAATTTAATAATCTATTATATGTAGATATATATATATATATATATATATATATATATTATATATATTATATTAGGTTGGAAACTATGAAATGGGCGTTTTTGTTTAGTTATTTATTTTCATTCAACGCCCGTTTCATAGTTTCCAACCTAATATATAATATATATAATATCTATATATATAATATACTATATATAATATACTATAGTATACTATATATAATGTACTATAATAATAATTAATATATATATATATATATCATATATAGTTTAATTTTGTACTTTAGACTATTATACTAATTTTCTTCACGAAACAAACTTTATATATTCTCCATATTGTTTTCTTTTACGATTAGTCACTAATATTCGAATAACATTGATAAATTTTTATCCTTATTTCGTGCTTTTTCACCTGACATTTCAATAATAAAGTGTTTTACACTACAAATTGAATTTTATGCAAATCGAAATCAATCATTTCTTCACGAATCAAATTCAATCTTTTGCAAATCAAAAATATTTTTTCTTTTTTTTTTCTTTTTTTTTTTTTTTTTTTATTTTTCTTAAGCTCATAATAAAAGATGTAATCAAATGTAAATTCGTTGTTAAAAAATTAAAAATTTTACATAGAAATTTTGCGATCTAAATTTTTCGAAATCATGCTTATCCGTTTTCAAATCAAATTCATCCTTTTATATATAAATATAAAATTTTTCATCGAGTTTATCGTATTTCATATTTTTGAAATAACACGTAGTAAACAAATATATTTAATAATTCTCTCGAATTTATAATTACAATCACACACAGCTTATCAAAATTAAACACTGAACAATCGACGATGAGTATATTTTGTTTCAACCTCAAACCACATTTACAGTAAATTATTCATTCCCGTAAATTGTAAGAATTCCAGGAAAATTAAATCGATATAATTGCACTTCGATTTCATTTTACTGTGAAATTTTATAATATCGATCATTTATATTATCAATTATAATTAATTAATTCACCTCGCTGTAAACACTGCAATCTATCAAAATTAAATACAGTTGTTGTTTAGTTGTAATTAATATTGCAACAGGTTCTCTAATTGAGAAGTACTGTTATACAAATATAATAAAATTTTTAATTTATTAACAATTTACAATTGATTTTATTTTTATTATAAAAGCTTAAAAAAAAGAATTTAAAAAATAAAAAAAAAAACATTAAATTTGTAAAGAAGCTCAACTTTGCAAAAGATCGATTGTTATCCGATAGATTAGATATTAGCGTTTCATTCAGCATAGCTATGGCTTAGGAAAAAAATTTAAATAATAACCTTAATTATTAACGTTAAAATTAATCTATATGATTATGTTAATCAAAAAGACGAAAAGAATTCTTTTATACGAAGATGTATATTTATTAAAATAATAAATATATATCTCGATTTATTTATTAAATTCGTTTATTAAAATAATGTTTACTTCTAAGTTCTAACGTTCATAGATACAGTTATAGGTATTAAATGACGACGAGCTTAATAATAGTAATAAAAAAAAAAATAAATAAATAGATAAAAAAAAAGAAAAAAAGAAAAAAAGAAAAAAAAACAGGCATCGAGAAAATAAAAATAAAGCTATAAAGTTAGATCGGATTTATTTTCTGATTTCTGTATCGCCAATTTCTCGTCGGACATATTGTTCTTCGGTTGTTTGTTATTAACGAGTTCCTCTATCAATCTAACGGCTTCCGCTCCTTTGTAAGTTTTCTTGTGTTTAGTATCGATACTCATTCCAACTAAATCACCGGCCTCTTGATAAGCTTTATCCGATAGATTAGATAATAATGATTCTTCGTTGTAGGGTGCATTCATCAATATTACATTTTCCTCAGGAATTGAATCTTTTATTATTGATCCTGGTTTTGGTGTAGTGAAATTTGTCTCAACAGTTGACAATTCACAGGTACGTTTTCTCTTATTCTCAATTTCTATCATTTTTTCTCTTAACTTTTCCTTCTCCTCTGCCTCTTCCTCCTCCTCCTCTTCAGAATTCATCACCCAATCTCGTAAAAATCGTCGGAAATCATTCGATTCGTTTTTATCGTTACTTTTACCAATGATCTTCGTCGAGGCACGAATATTTTCTAGATATCGTGCCAAACCAAGATCCACAAATCTATCGATCATCTTACGTCGATCATCGTCCGTTAAATTTTCATCCCTTTCGTCGTCCTCGATCAATTCGTTCCTTCCAGATTCTCGAGTTTTCTTATCGCACGTTTTCTTACACGGTCTCGTTCCTAGAAAAAGTACGACCAAATAGTTCCACGATTGATATATAATTGTAGGATATAGATATATAAGTAGGAAAATGAATTGCTTCGCTTTGAATTCGCCATTTTGCAAATCGAATTTGTTCATTTTGCGAAATGCATTTTTTTACGATTTTATTTTATTTTCTTCTTTTTTTTTTTTTTTTTTTTTTTCTTAAGTTTCGACTATGAATACATATAATAGTCAAATGTAAATCTATCGTTGAAGGAAATTAATAATTTTTATGATACATAAATATATCGACATATAAAAATATTTCTTTGAATAATAATGATTAAAAACTCATCAGACTAAACGAATTCATCGGAATATCTTTTTCAAAATATTTTTCAAAATATTTTGCGATGAGTTGAATTTTTTTCATATCATATCGACATCAAATTCAATATTTTTTTAAATGTTATGATTATATTTAAATATTATATTGTAAAAGATTGTCAAAATTTAATTATTATTAATTTTTTATTCGGAAAATACTGAAATCAAAATTCTAATTTTGATAATTGAAGAAATAATGACTTATGCACAATAAAAATAACTTGATATACGTATATTTAGAATATTTTTATATCATTAAGCCTTAAAAAAAAAAAATATCATTAAGGCTTATCGTTAAAGCTTAAATTGTCGATAATAATGAATATATAAAAAATCATCAGTAACATTGAATAGATTGAATTCGATTTGCGAAAGAATGAATTCGATTTGCGAAAGGATGAATTCGATTCGCGGAATGATAAGTATTATTTGCAAATGGTTCAATTCAATTTGCAAAAAGTTGCATTTGAATTTGTAAAATCGGTAAAAGAAGAAAATATGTAATACGCAAAAGGAAGATAAACGATTTGTTAATTTACAATTATATTGAGATGAGAAAAATTCCGAGGAAAAAAAATTCCTATTTAACAAAAGGAATGCAAAAAAGACGAGAAACAAAAAAAAAAGAAAAAAAAAAGAAAACAAATAACAGATCGAATATAACGACATGAAATGATATCAAATACGATAGAAAAATAAAAAAGAAAAAAAAAGAAATCAAAGTAATTTAATTTGATAGTGATTGAATTAAAAATCCAAGAAAAGGATATAGATAAATAGATTGATAGATAAAATGAAAGAAAGATGGAGACGGGAAAAGTTTGAAATCTCAAGAAAAAATCAACATTCGTATGGAGTTAAATTAAGTGAGAGGTTGGCATAACCGAGGTCAAGTATACACACATATATGTATGTTAAATGCTAGAGACTCTGGTTGAACTTTCAAGTGACAGGCGAGAGACTCACCGAAAGTTCGCTTGGTTGGTAAATCTTGGAAAAAAAAAGCAAAAGAAAAGAAAACAAGAAAAAAATAAGAAAAAGATCTTTGAGAGCTCTTCCTTCTTACATGACAATGGTCAAGACCGAAGATTTTTTTTTTCTCATTAATTATACTAACACGTACTTGTGTAAGGTGTATCTTTAATTTTTAAAGAAGAAATAAAATTATGATAATTAATAATTTTGCATGGATTTTTTCTTCATTATTTTTTAATAAATAAAACATTAATTACTAATGTTTAATTAATGTAAAATAAAAATTTATTTATCCCAATTTTTTCAGAATTTATTCTTTAAAAATGTTAATTGTGTTATATATATATATATATATATATATATATATATAAAAGAAAATTAAAAAGAATAAAAAAAGAATCTTCTTCGAGAGCTTTTCCTTTTTTACGTGACAATCAAGATTGAAGAATTTTATGTTCATTAATTATACTAATACGTACTTATAAAAGTGTACCTTTAATTTTGAAAGAAGAAATAAAATATGATAATTATAAATTTTTTTATACAATTTTTCTCTTCTTTATTTTTTAAGAAATAAAAAATAATTAATAATTATTAAAACAAAAATTATAAAATTATAAAATTATAAAATAAAACAAAAAGATATTTATTTCAATTTTTTCAGAATTTATTCTTCGAAGATATTAATTGGGGTTATATAAAAGGAAAAAAAAAAAAGAAAAATATTACTGATATTATCAATAGAAGAAATAAAATATACGATATATATATATATATATATATATATATATATATATATATATATTGTAAATTCTTTATCATATAATTTTTTTTCGTTAATTTTTTTACAAATATATTATAATTATACGATGATTAAATAAAATAAAACAAAAATTTCCTTAGTCTAATTTTCTATTATATATTATATATATATATATATATATATATATATATATATATAATATATAATATATATATATGTTATATAACATATATATATAGTATATATATATGTATAAATATATATATATGTAATTAATATACATATTTATATATATATATATATATATGTATATATATATAAGAAAAATAATAATAATAATAAAAAAAAAAAAAAATAAAGAGAAGTAAAAGACATTTTCATAAATTTCTTGTTAAGAAGAAAATTAATGCATACGAATGAGATTTTTCTTTACCAACGCATTCCTCTGTTTGTCGTGGCACGCGACCCTTACAGGCATCGAAATTTGCTTGAATGGCTTCCTCGTCTGGTTGACCACTCATTCTCACGCATTGAATTTTACGATGCCTGGTGCCTTTGTTACCGTCGCACGCGCTACATTTGCTCCACTGGCTTACTCTCCACCTAAAGGTGATATATCGTTTGATATATTCGATATGTTCGAAGTGTGTCAAATCAAAAGGAAAAAAAAAAAAAAAAAAAAAAGAAAAAATATTTACTATCAAAATCAATATGAGATTTTAAAATAAGAAAAAGTATAAAAATCGAAACAATTTTACTTAATGATTTTATTTAAACCTTCCTCTATAACCTTTCTAGTTTTTTTTTTCTTTTTGGGCTCATAATGAGAAAAAGAAGCATATATCAAACAA